TTATTATTATTATTATTATTATTATTATTATTATTATTATTATTATTATTATTATTATTATTATTATTATTATTACTGTATTATTATTATAAAATTTTCTAAAAAGAATGGTAAAATTACATTATAATAGTTATACACTATTTTCGATCGCAAGAAATTGCATTTGGTAATTCCCTACATTTCGAATTGTGCACAACAATAATTGTAGATAATTTTAAGATTCTAGGTAGTCAATAATATTTTCAACTACATTTTATATTAGCAAAATTCTTAAAATTTCTAATTCGTAATAGTTGGCTATCGATCAAGATATTAACCAATTGGTTAAAAATCTTTGTTGGTCACTCGCCTGATGTAATTAATTATATACGAATTCTTCCTTGATTCGCCCAAAATGGCCAAAGCAACTGCTATTAAGATAACAATTATAATAACAATAGTTAAGAGAACAATACAAGCCCATGATTCCTATTTTTAAATATAAATGTGTATTTAATATATATTTCGAAGTCTTAATATTTTGTTAATTACCTTTATTTTTCGTTGTTCTCGACGACAAATACAACATATGTTTTTCTCATCTAAACATTGATTCAGCACACAAGGTAAGCAAAACATTTGGTAACAGCAATAACATAATAAAGTCCCGGTAAGAAACATGTTAGACCTGGACGATATTGAATGCCAGCAGGTAAAGAACTATTACAATATGGAAAACATACCTACTTCTGCTGAACTAGCGGTTACTTGAATGATTGTACTATTATATGGATTGATTTCTGAATTCATAGTTGGGTTGATTTTTGAATTAATAGCTGGATAGATATTTGAGTCAATAGTTGGACTGATATTTGGGCTGACATTTGGACTGACAGTATTCAAATTTAATAGATAAGGAACAGGGGATGGATGAGGGGATCGAGGATGAAGTGGAGAATAGTACTGTTGTTGCATAGGTTGTTTTATGTCCATTCTGTTAGGATTAATATTTGCATGAAAAAAATTGCTTGCACAATTTTGTTTCTAACGTAACTGAACATTTTCAACCATCCGAATATATAGTATTATTAAGCCAAATTGGGTGATAAGCCCATTTGACGAATACGTTAAGTACTACGAGCAATTTGATCAGCGACATGTGATATTGGGACGTCCGAAAAAACCTGTAAATCATATCTACTTTTAATAAAAATATCTTAAAGTAACTTAATACTTATTATTATTTTAATATCGTCTCATTAGGACGATTCAAATTATATCAAAAATAATGTCAATTTACTTGATTTTAAGATATTTTATTAAAAGTAGGTATCAAAAAAGTATGACTTACAGGTTTTCTTTCCCGACACTCAAATATGGATAGTAAAAAAAAAAAAATTTTTAATAGTTAATTATTTTATTAATTAATTTTATGTTAAAATCTATGCGTTTTTGGAAGTCTGGATATATTCATTATAATCATATGGGGTCTTTGCCTTGAAAATTACCTTACGGTACATGATACCGTAAGGTCATTTTCAAGGCAAAGACACCATATGTTTACTGACTAATAGAATTTTTGGTCACATGATGATTATTATTATTACGATGATGATGATTATTATTATTATTATTATTACAAGACCTCATTATAGTCACTCTTGATGTAGTTACAACCTTACTGTAATTACACTATATTTTAATTTGAGCAGGACCCCGGATAATTCTAAGGTAGGTGGTAGGGCAAAAGAGGGTAGATTTTGGGCCAAACTTGTCTTAATTCTGGTCAAAATTAAAATTAAAAATTGATTTTGACCAGAATTTAGACACGTTTGGCCCAAAAAATCTACCC